TGGTGGGAATTAAGACATTGGGTAGAAAAGCCATATCCAGTAAATTCAAGGTACCACAGCTCCATACTCAATTTTCCCCAATTTTCAACTGGTGTGGCGCTGTGGGTTCATGCGCCACACTGCAATGCCATCTGAACTGCAAGGTTGGCAGTTCAAGCTCACCAGCTGCTCCTCGGAAACCCTATACAGAGTCACTATGGGTCAGAACCAACTTGACGGCACTTCACAACAACAACAACATAAGTATGGTACATTTGTCACAACTAATGACCTATGGTGTTAGTTGTGTGTCACTGAGTTGGTTCCGGTGCACAGCTACCCTGTATAGTGTTTCCAAGTCTTTAAATCTTTATGGGGGCAGAAAGCATTATCTTTCTCCAATACAATAACTTGTACATTCAAACTGCTGGCCCTCTGGTTAGCAGCCCAGCTTATGATTCACTATGCTACCATGGCCCTAGTGGCCTAATATATTATGAACTCAGTTATTCATATTTTGTTAGTTGCTGGGTGTGAACTACCAACCTTTTGGTTATCAGCTGAGCACTTGCCACCATGGCTCCTTTCATAGTTTCTGCCTAATGTTCTGAGTTCCAGGGGCTTATCCAGAAGAGCACGTCGTATGTAGTCATCATATCTCCTTAGCATCTTATGTACAGTTTCCCAGACTTCTCTTGGCTTGGATGACCGTGACAGTTTTAAGGTATATTTTTAGCTTTAGGAAACACTGCCTAAAGTTTTCCCAAAGGGACTGTATTAATTTAAACTCCTGCACCAATGTAGAGAAACTCCAGTTGATCCATATTTTCATCAACACTAATATCACTCGTCTTTTTATTTTGAGCCGTATGAGTACCTGTACCGAACTGGGGCTTTAATTTGTATTTCTCAGATAATCAGGATATCTTCTTCTTTTGTGAAACTGCCTATTTGAATCATTTGCTTATTTTAAAAATTGGGTTACTTGTGTTTTTCTTATTAATTTTAGGATATATATTCTGGTGTGGTGCTG